GCTGCCCCCGCCCCCACAAATCAAGGATTTCCCAGAAGAATTAAAAAATAAAATGAAAAGATCCAACATAATAAAGCTGTGTTTGTAGACAGCTGACCAAAAAAATGAAACTTTTTTTTTTTAAAAAAAGCAATCTCAGTTCAAGAATGAGTTATTGCTGTTTGTCCTTTCACTGCTCTAGGTAATACCAAGGAAGGAAGGGACTTACAGTAAGCCATTGATTAATAGGTTAAATTTCCAAGGCTCAGACTGAAGTACTGATGTGTCTACAGAAGTTTTGTTCTTTTCTTCCCACAGTTAACAAGGTACCTGAAGGTCAAATGCAGATGTTCCTGCAGCATATAGTGAAGGCAGCACTTTTCAAATAAACTATGTGATTGTGGCACCACCTACTGTTGACTATCAGCCTGAACAAAATTATATGTGTGACCTTGTTTGCACAGAATCAAAACCATGCCTGTTACAAATACCAATCTAAGGCATTTTCAATGCACCGAATTTTAAAAAGCAAGTCATTGGGTGGCAGTCAACTAAGTTTTACTCAACAGTATACCCATTGACATTACTAAACAGAACAATAATAATGTATTACTTGTACCCCACCCATCTGACTGGGTTGCCCCAGCTACTCTGGGCAGTTTCCAACAGAAAATAAAGAGCACGTGATACATCAGACATTAAAAGCCTCCTGATATGGAACACCATATAATTGGTTCTCTCTTTGACAACTGATAGGCGGGCGTTCCACAGGGCAGGAGCCACTACCCAGAAGGCCCTCTCCCTGATTCCCTATAATTTCACTTCTTGCAATGAGGAAACAACCAGAAGGCCCTCAGTGTCCAGGCTGAACGATAGGGGTGGAGACACTCCTTCAGGTATACAAGGGTGTGGATGTTTAGGGCTTTAAGAGTAAACACAAACACTTTGAATTGTGCTTGGAAACGTACTGGGAGCCAACACAGATATTCTAGGACCAGTGTTATATGGTCCCAGCAGCCACTACAAGTCACCAGTCTGGTAGCCGCATTCTGGATTAATTGCAGTTTCTGAGTCAGCTTCAAAGGAAGCCCCAGTACTAAGTCAGGTCTATGAATTTCAGTAGGCCTACTCTGAATAAAACTTAGTTAACTATCACCCAATGTAACCATTTGCAACTAGCTGCTCGCAAAAGGAAAATGGTACGACTCAAAAACCTTCAGCCTCCGACTGCTGCAACCTAAATACAGAAAAGCAATGCACATCCACAGATTGAAAGAGATTTCATTAACTTAGCTTTGACAAGAGCACACACCACAGTTAATTCTTGGGCTCACATATTTCCCTCTTCTTCATGAGCAGCCTTTAAGGTTCCTCCACTTGCACATGAAGGAGAAGGGAATGCCTCACTGTCTGCATAACATTATGTGATGGGTTAGCATCAAAGCTGCTTGGGTTTCTATCCACTACAAACAGCAAAATAAAACCTAGCTTAGTATGGTTGAGACTTTTTCATCTCTGAGTAGGTTCAAAAAGCAGGGAAACAGATTGGCTTCCAGTTTTGCCACTTCTACTTTAATGCGCCGGGCGGGTTTCAAGAATCTCACCTGCAGTTCCTCCATGAGCGCCAGCTCAACATCTTGCCATTGACAAGCTGCTCAATTTCCAGGACAAAAGAAATGAGTAATGTTGGCTAGTTCTAACATCCACACCCCTCCACTAGACCAACTCACCAGGGGAGTTCAGATTTCTCAAGGTCCGGTCTTTGAAGCTCTCTTTACTAAGATATAGCTTTTCTGTTTTTACTCATGTATTTCTTTGTATTTTTGGTTTTAAATGTTGTACATACATTTTTATTTTTCTTACCTTACTATGCTTTATGCAAACCACTTAGGTATTTTGTATATTAAGTGGCATATAAATCTTATTGATGATGATAAAAAAAAAAAAGATACAAGCTTACTTGCAGTTAGTTTACTTTAAAGGCTTCTAACAGCAATCCCTACAATTGTCCAGAATGAAAGCTCATTCCTGTACATTCAGATCTTTCACTTCTACACAATTATTATTAAAGTTTGGAAGCCTTATTCTTCTCTAGATCTATCCACTCTGTACATGATTATTAAATATTGATAATAAGATCAGCAAATCTTAATTATGGTAGAAAATGATCCCTTGGGTTTTTCAGGTACACATCTTTGTTTTCTGTTTTAGGTAGTCGGTAGTATTTGTGTGACTAAGAACTGAACTCCACTGTCTTTGGCTAATTTGAAAAAAATGCTAATGCTATTGTTTACGTGACTACTTATCCCAAATTTTAAAAAGAGAGAATAATGAGCCCAATTAACCTGGAGTTTTCTCCCTTTCAGACCACTTCAGCATGATTACTACCATCAGCATATAAATGTTGGGAAGAGAAATGAGATGGCATTAATCCAGGATAAACCTTCTAATAGTTTCAGATCCCTCCCTTAACTTGTGATGGCTAAAGAAAAAATGATGATCCTCTAAAAAGATCAGTGAATAACAGAGTTATCACAATACTGCCACTGTGTGGATAAGAATAAGAACAGCACATCATATTTCAAGTAGCAAAATCCAGTTTTGTTTGGGTAGGAAACGAGAACATAATTTTCCTCTAAATGTAATTATGACATGAACTAGCATGCCCAGGGTTAGAAACAAATAACGTTTGTTGAGACTGTCACTGTTCACATCCAACACTCCCCCAGAGTGCATGGAACCAGATGCATTGATCCAAGTTCAGAAACCCTGCAAATATAACTGCTCTGAGCTCAATTTCAAGTAACTAAGATAGATTTCATGCATTCTGAGCCTCTCTCCTATCTTTGATGCACACGTATGAAATACAGAAATGCAGTTCTAAACAAATTTGTATCATGATTCCGTGTTTTTAAAACAGATTGATAGCCATGTGGGAATGTGAATTTACAACCTCATTTCCTGCATTATTTGTGTCGCATCTGAACAAATGTGTTATCTTTTTTCTCTCCATAGAGTAGTTGTACACATTTGGGTACGGCTTTTTCATATTTCAAGCTTTGTTGAAGCAGGGCAGGGAAGCCCTGTCATTCATATATGCAGATTTCCTTCACCATCTCCCCTCTCTGCACTCCAATGAAACCGACATGATCATCAGGGAAAGACTTGTCAGCTCCATAAACTCCAGGCAGTAGAACATGCTAATTCAGACTCTTGTGTAAATACAAGCAGCTTGTCATTGCAGCTGGAGTCACAATGAGAAAAAGACAAGAGGGCTGAACTGCTCTCTGTAAGGATTCTGATGGTGCTGGCAAACTCCCAGAAATCTGATGAGTGGCGGCAAATTTTGGGACAGCGGCTTGAATGTTTAAATTGCAAACTTCCACCTATACTCAACCTGTGTCATTACAGGGAGCCACAAGAGCGGGGAGTGCTGTTGTGCTTGGGTCATGCTTGCAGGTTTCCCATCTAGATAGCCACTGTGAGAACAGATTGCTGGACTAGACGGGCCATTGACATTATCCAGCAGGCTCTTCTTATGTTCTTATATACATGCAAATACTGCAAAATGCCACACGTCTTCTGTGACCTCATCCAAAGGAAACCAAGCACAGGTAACTATTGGAAATCTTGAAACTTGTCACTACCCTGCAAAATAGGGTGCTCTAGAGACTGATTTCAGTATTGCTTCCTAAGGGCTTGCTTGGGAAGTGATTCTACCAGACAAGAACTGCTTCCTGTTTAGCTTCTTAGCTAGCAAATAGATCCCAGCACAAAAAGGGCACATGCCCCAAAGTCCTCTTTCTCTTATGGCTATTAGATGAAAGTAGAAATTTTTACTACTCACCTGACTTTCAATGGTGTCTAGTTGTGACACTGAAGTTTTACCTGTTATACTTTCTTTGCCTTTTTAATTTCTGGTTAATTTTGTTTGGCATGTCTGACCTTGTTTCAGGATTACATAGGTTTGGAGTATTATTGCACACCACACTGGGGGTCCTGAATCAAATCCTATCAACAACTTGAGCAAGTTTCACTCCCTGCCTCCAAAAACAGTACATTTTTTCCCCCTTCAGAAGGTAATAACACCACCCCACGCTCAAAGAACTGGCATGATCTACCTATACGGATGATGCAGTTAATCTATCGCTCACCTTCCCTGAAAACAGCCTTTGAAAACATTGTGATCTTGATAAAACCCCACTGTCAGGTCTAAGAGCCACATTAAGGCAAAGGGATTACACCTATGGTACTTAATGATTGTTTTTTCTCTGGCATCAGCAGACACCACCAACATTACTCTTTCAAGCAAGGTGACAGGCCTTTTTGCAACCTGAAATGGTTGGACAAACAGCAATCAGGAGATCAATGCTAATCTTGACTATAACACCTAGGATTTCTTTGTTGGCATCTGTACTGTTAAGAATTGCTGGGGCCAGATCTGACAAGCAAAAAGTAGGGAAGAAACGAGGCAATGTGACAGTGGGAAAGAAGGCAGAAAGCCGATGCATTTATTGTTTTGCTTAAAACAATTTCCCCATACCCTCTTGCTTGACACCTTCTTGTGTTACCTGATTTCACAGATAACCACAAAACCAGTGGTAACCTGTTTGCACATGAAAAGTGGGGGATGACTGTCATTTCAGGGTCCTACAGGAGGAACTGCAGCATATCTCTCTCTCATGATGCTCTAATAGTTTAGGGATATTTAGGCTACATGGATAGAGAGTCCCAAGAGACACCGTCTTTCCAGGCAACCATTATCCTAACTCCTACAATCACAGCTGTGGATTCCTAATATGTGCCCCAGATTTTCCTGGTGCAGCATACACTGAAATAGTCACCACACAACAGTAAACATCAGAAAAGACCCTTAGTGGAACCTACTGTCAAGATTCTTGACTGTAATTTACTTACACAGTACTCCTAAGCATGTTTTCTTTTGAACGAATCCTATTAAATTGTCAGTGAAACGTGACATATTAAAAAAAAAAATAGCATCTTGAAAATCCTGGACTTACGTTTGCTTCTGGTTTCCTAGCTGACTCCAAACTTCAGCCACAAAGCCATCAAAATTCTCATTCTAGAATAATGAAAACATTGGAGATTGTAAATTTACAGTGGAACCTTGTGTTATGCACTGTCCTCCTTGCGAACACTGCGGGTTGCAAGCTCCGCTAACCCGGAAGTAGATGCCCCTTATTGTGAACTTTGCCCCAGGATGTGAGCGGAAGTCGAGCACCGGCAGCACAGCATGTGCCATTAGCAAAAGCGCACCTTCTATTATGAGCGGTTTCGGGTTACAGACGGACATCCGGAACAAATTAAGTTCGTAACCGGAGGTAACCACTGTATTCTGAACAAATATCATCGTGGTTATTACTTTTGATGATGTTGAAAGTTTAGACATCTCATAAAAAGAATCCTGCCTTTACCTCTTAATGCTTTGATCAGGTGTAGGTTATTTTTTTTCTGCTGCTGCTGTTTTGCCATTTAATTAGATGCCTGTGGTTACTGATTTTGTTTTAAGCTACGTTGCTATTTCATTAGTTTGCTTAACTGGACACCATCATGTAAAATGGCTGTTTATGCAGTTTTTATAAATATGGCTATGGATTTTAAACGCAACCACGCTGCCCATGTATACAATGCAGTATCATATCAAACTGCTTTGAGGTCTTTTTTTTACAATCATGGTGTATTAAATAATAAATAAAATATCAGTATGCACTGAGTGCTCACTGGAAGGACAGATCCTGAAGCTGAGGCTCCAATACTTTGGCCACCTCATGAGAAGAGAAGACTCCCTGGAAAAGACCCTGATGTTGGGAAAGATGGAGGGCACAAGGAGAAGGGGACGACAGAGGACATGATGGTTGGACAGTGTTCTCGAAGCTACCAGCATGAGTTTGCGGGAGGCAGTGGAAGACAGGAGTGCCTGGCGTGCTCTGGTCCATGGGGTCACGAAGAGTCGGACACGACTAAACAACAAATGCACTGTGTCACCTAGGGATCTTTTATGTAAACACAATTCACAACCCCTGAGTTTAAACATGCCAGCATTTAGCCCACCTCCTTTTCACCCACATGCTATTGAGCACAAACAACATATTTACAAACTTACTTCCACACCTAAGAATCAAGCTTCCTTTCTTCACTGCTATATGTAATATATAAAACCTGTCTGTGACATCTAGGCCAGTCATTGACAATTTTACGTCATCGACAATTTTAAAAAGCCACACTGATATCTGGTATTATACTGGCTCTTTATTTCTCAGAGGTAGGCTTAAGATACCTTGGCTATTTGGATCAGGTTACTGGAAAGCTCTTCTATCTCATCTTCACTGTCAAACACACTCTCAAAGTCATGGTAAGTCCAGCCTTCAAACAAAATTCGTGGAACTGAAAAAATACAGAAAGGGAGAAAGAAAGACTAGAAAGAGTCATTAATTTTCTACGCTATTAGGAAAACTGCTGTGGCATGCTCACTTGAAATATGTATTCCACCCCTTCTCCAATACTAAAACTTGTTCTATCCTTATTAATGTACTTCAGGCGGAAATATATGATGAGGATGGGGAAACTGTGACCCCACCAGCTGTTGCTGGACTCCATTGGCCCCTGTCACCACGGCCAATGGTCAGAGGTGACATGAGTTGCAGTCCTAACAAAATCTAGATGACACAAGTCTTCCATCCCTGGTATGTGAAACCTTTATTGTAAGTATAGCAAATTTAGGGCCAACACTCCCTTTCAGCATAAACATTTGGAGCTCCATGTGGCTGCCCATACGCACTGAGGCTCCAAATCATGGCACTTTTACCTCAAATTTTGGGGTGCAGAGAAAGGATAAGCTAAGCAAATTTTGTGGAGTAGGAACATATTCCATTAATCTTCCATGGGAAATAGATTTCTTGGCCAAGATAAATATCAGAGCCCAACAAGTGTAAGTGGGTAGGAAGCTACAGCTGATGCTAGTGTAAGGCACTGGAATGAGGTGCTGAAAGGGCAGAGGGGGGCTAGCCAAGGATCCAACGCTGGTCCATTTTGTGGAAAGGCCTGCCCGCTGCACCATCATGGAGATTGTGAAACAAAAAAGGACACATTTGAGCATCCCACACATAGGTGGAATCTACACACATATAAAAAACACTGTGAAAATGCTTTTTAAAAAAAAGTTTTGAAAAATGCATTGAAATTGCCATAGCTCACTGTTGCCATCTAGTGCCGCATTTGTATATTGTACTTTAAAGGTAAAGGTAAAGGACCCCTGACAGTTAAGTCCAGTTGTGAATGACTCTGGAGTTGCAGCACTCATCTCGCTTTACTGGCCGAGGGAGCTGGCATACAGCTTCCAGGTCATGTGGCCAGCATGACTAAGCCGCTTCTGGAGAACCAGAGCAGCGCACAGAAACGCCGTTTACCTTCCTGCCAGAGCGGTACCTATTTATCTACTTGCACTTTGATGTGCTTTCAAACTGCTATGTTGGCAGGAGATGGGACCAAGCAACAGGAGCTCACCCCGTCATGGGGATTCGAACCGCCGACCTTCTGATCGGCAAGTCCTAGGCTCAGTGGTTTAGAACACAGCGCCACCCACGTCCCTATACTTTACAACACACTTAAAACATTTTATTTGCAGCTGCATAGCTGAGTCCACACACATTTCCCCTGCTCAGGGCTTTTACAGTGGTGATAGACCTGCTGCTTCATTCCACCCTGCTGCTCTTTAATGTGTGATATATGGGAATACAATTTTCCAGTTGTGCTAAATACAAAATACAATTTTCCAGTTGTGCTAAAAAGAGAGAGGGCAGAAAGCCTACTCCTTTGCTTTAAAAAAAGAAAAGAAAGAAAAGCCTGCCAACTAGTTTGATCTGCATTTACTCTTATGTACAACTAGGGTGGTCTGGGACCTATCCGTGAGAAAGCAGAGATTTCAGGAGGGTAGGAAATGGAGGAGGGGTGTAATTTTTCCTTTCCCCATTCCTGAAATCCCTCCATCGCCTCCCTGGTGATCCCCAAGCTGCACTACAAGATTCTTGTTCCAGGCTGACTGAATGACTTCTGTTAACACTGGTAGCATTTTGTTGTGAATCCCCAGCAGTCGATTACAATTTCCCAACTAAAAAGGCAGCAGGAAAACAGACCCAGTCATTATAAAGAATGACTGGGACAATTTGGCTAAGGCAGATGAGTGCAGGAACCCAGAATAGTATGACACAATTAAAACTAATGCTTCCGGAGTTGCCCTACAAGAATGGGTTCAATTTTGCCAGACTCACATTTCAAAAATTACGAACATTAAGAGCCCTACTGGATCTGGTTCAGCACCTTGTCTTCCAACTAAAGGCCCATGGAAAGACTGCAGGCAGGACACGAGGGCAATAGGGAGCCAAGGCCCATTGGAGCTAAAAATCATAGATTGTAGACTTGGAAGGGGCCTTGAGGGTCACCTAGCCCAACCCCCTGCAAAATATGGAAGCTTTTCTACAAAGTCACCTATTTTGATGTTTTTGGCATTCTTCTTCACTTCTTTCATCCAACCTGTTAACAGAAAACATGAAGAACAAATATGAACCTGTCTAATCACAAAGTGCCACATTTCCCAAACACAAATATGTTTTTTATAATTTTTCTACTCTGTGACTGTCAAAGAAATAATGGTTACATGGATCATGGTATAAAAATCAATGCTCTCTACACCACCAAAGATGTAATAACCATTAAGCAACCATGTGTTGTCAGCTCAGAGTAACACATATGCGCATGTGCTCCACTCACCCTGGTCATTTTTGCATTTGGCCCCTTCAGGAAGGCAAACACTAACACAGCTTTGGGATTATTCAAAGCAGAAAGCAGCATATCAAGGTTCCTCACTGCAAGGCATCAGCCTTCAAGCACTGGGTACCACTGGGCCAACCTACAGCGCCTGATGGATTGCTTACTGCCAAGTCGCCACAGACACATGATCTCACAGGCAGCGTCATGCAAATTGACCACCAGCTGGAAATGGTTGGCTGTGGCTGCATAAGCAAATAATGGCTGGATCTCCTTAATTTCAATAGGTTGACTCATATACATTCTCTGTTTTTAAGTTGTATTATGTCTCAATGTCAATTTGTAAAACAGTATTTTCCCCCATTGGGTGCTGTATGAGAGTGGGAAATTTTATGTTACAGTGGAAGTTTGCAAATATCAACATTCACATATGAATGCCGAGAATCCCTGCCAAATTTTGTGACTACCCGAGAATTCAGAGATGCATTTGTGTCACTGTTCATTTTAGGGGAGACTGCTACAATGCAGCCAAAACAGAATCACACTCAGATGTGGGAGGTTTCAGCACACTTGCAGGGGGACCCCAAGTCTGCAGAAGTGCAAAAGCAGTTTTAGAGAGAGGGGAACCAAACAGCCCAAAAACCAAGTAGACTCTGTGGACACGAACTGCTGACTGACTGCTGACTGAGTGAGGGGTAGGGAATGGAATGAAATGGAGTGGCTGGAAACTGGAACAGGAGCACTCCCTACTGCAATTGTCATAGAGCATGCCTGTCAGTAACCACAAAGTTTAAAGCTGGAGTTAATTCTTTATTAGCAAAAACACGGTCTCCACTGACTTGAATGAGTGTCATGCCTAATGAGCACAGCAGCTCATTCCCGGTGGATGAAATCATGAAATCAGTTGCTGATACTAAAGGTCCCTGCCTCCCCACAGCTGTCTGTCTCCTCCTCTCCAGGGCTTTTTCCAAGCAATGGGAGACTGCACTTGCATGCAGTCAATCTCTCCTCCACCTTTTTCATGCATCTCCAGGTTCTGGGAAACAGGGGAGAGTGGAGCTTGTTGCAGCAGGAACAGGAGACACATGTCACTCTTCACCAGCCTGACTCATCTCTGCCTTTTCCAGTCCCACTCACCAGCTTACACTTCTGATTCTTCTCTCTGCTACAGACTCTCCCAGCTCACCAAGCCCAGTTACTTCTTCCACTTCCTACATCTCTTCCCAGTCTTCTCCGTCTGACCACTCATTGTTGTCCCATCACCTCTCCCGGGGCTCTAGGCCTTCTTCTCTTGGTGGTTCCCCAGCTGGTTCCTCCCTCCATTCCTCTGCATCCATGACAGCAACATTTTGTTGCAGGCCCTACTTGCTCCATTTAACAACAGTCTCAGGTGGTTGAGTTTCAACAGGAACAGAGCCAAAACAGAATCACCGAGACACAAGTAAGAGATATCAAGATGCTCAGGTGAAACCCACTGTATGCAGAAATACCAAACATATTTTAATGGGGGGAGGATCCCAGGCAGGAGTGTCTGACTGCAAATATTCTCAAAATTCATGGATGGTGAGATATTCACACAGGAATATCAAAGTTACCACATTTTTCAGGCATTCACTGTTAACACGCACGCTTCTATATGCACCTCTCTTAGCTTTTATTGTCTGCTACTACATGCATCCAATGAAATAGGAAATGGCCTGAAAAGAGTCGCATCATAATAAATTGTTTAACTTCAAGGTGCCAGAATACTTTTTGCCTCTGAATGAATTCAGCATCAGAGTTATAATTGGGAGTTCCTAGCTCAAGCCAACATGCTGGATTATGACAGAGTTAAAGCATACTTTTGTGTTACAGAGAATGCATCCAGTTATTCTATCAAATTTTCTGCCATGGAAGGAAAGCATTGTATAGCATCACAAAATGCATGTTAACACTGGAAAGCCAAACAGCAAATGCACTAGACACAGATCATGGGGCATGGGATATCAAGCACAAAAGAAAACCTTGGTCAGCATCATGGAGCCCTGTCACCTGGAACCTCTCCTTGCCCCTTCTCTTCACCTGCAACCAGACTGGCGAGATAGTCGTAAATTTGCTTCCAAATATCTTAGCAATGTCATAGCCATGGCTGTTCCACTGGAAAAGGGAGGAGGAAGAGGTATTAGGGCAAAATCCATCACAAACCACCTAGAATTGTATTAAATGCAGGGAAGAGGTTAATGGTCCCACTTTCAGCTCAGAACTTCCATTTCCAGCAGCTAGCCCAATATATTTTTGCGGTTTGAGGCAAAGGATAAGATGACCTTGTTCCTCACCACCTAGGCCACTTTTATGTACTGGAGAGGCAGTTGTAGTTTACTTAAATACTGACAGCTCCAAAAGTACTCTGCATTGCACCCAACGGTAGTTTAGATGGCTCATTACATCTCTGCAACAGAGGGGGATGGGGGGTAGCCAGGCGGCTTGGAAAAAAGGGCTTGGTGGGAAGGATGACTTGTTGCCCACAAGCACCTGCCACCTGAGGCAACTACCCTACTCCATCTAACGGTAGATCAAGCCCCAAATTTTATTCGAAAGAGAGAGCGGGGAAACCCAAATACAGTGGTACCTCTGGTTAAAAACTTAATTCATTCCAGAGGTCCGTTCTTAACCTGAAACTGTTCTTAACCTGAGGTACCACTTTAGCTAATGGGGCCTCCTGCTGCCGCCACGTGATTTCTGTTCTCATCCTGAAGCAAAGTTCTTAACCCGAGGTACTATTTCTGGGTTAGCGGAGTCTGTAACCTGAAGTGTCTGTAACCTGAAGCGTCTGTAACCCAAGGTACCACTGTATATACACACAAAGCCACAAACCATGCAACAGATACCAGCATTCCTACAACTAGCTGCATCCCAACTTTTTCATTTTCTCAGTACTTACAGGCGTTATGTAGCCCAAAACATCTCCCCCAAAGTGTCGTTCTCGTGCTTTTTTGGCACAGTAGCTTTTGTACTCTAGGATAATATCCTTCATCTTTAAATCGGTAGAAACCAGGCCACGGTCTTGCACTCTTTTATCTGAATAGTGAGCCTGCCAACAAACCATTATCGTAAATTTAATAACAACTAAAGAAAACATCCATGTTCAGAAGCAGTCTACTCCTAAATACCACTGTAAATATATCCATATTTTATTGCACCCCAGATATGATGGAAGCAGCCAGTCTTGTTTAATCATGCCTCATTCACATGCACAGTATGATGTGGAATGGGGTATGAAAAGGGGTGTGTAAATAAGAGAAAGAAACTCAACCATCCCACCCACCTTTGCCCCCTGTCCAGCTCCATGTTAAAACTAGAGTCATACCCACCACCCAATTTACACATGAATCAGGGATACTGTAGTTCAGGGAGTTTGGCTCCAATTCATTTTTGCAATATTCAGTCACCTTATAGGCAAATGTTAACACCACTAGGTCAGAGTACAAAATCCACCAGAGCGTTCAATATGAAACTTTGCAAAAATTCCAAGCCATGAAGAAGCTTCTCCTACCTTTTCCTCCAGGGTTTTTGAGGCAGCTTTTTTGGTATCTGTCTTTGACAACGTAGCATTAGCCACCCGAGAAGCCAGGGCAAACACAACAAGGCTGATTGCGATCCATCTCATGACAGCTTGAGCTATTCCCGGCACCTCTAATTTCTTTATTGAGGAAGATAAAAAAATAAAATAAGGAGTTTGTTGTGAGACGACAACCCTACTTGAGAATAATAAGAGTAGTTGTTGCCAAAGGAATGTTCTTCAGTGGCAGAGCACATGCATGGCAGGTTCTGTACATTTACAGATCTCAGTGAAAGGAGGAGGGGAGTCTGCCACAGAGACCAAATGCCAGTGAGATGGAGACCGGGGATGGGGAAACCTGTGACCCTCCAAATGTTGTTGTCCCACTTTACCCCTAAGCCCCCTTTCTCTGCCGTTCCCTTTCCCCGGTATTCCCCTCCTTGCCAAATGCATTAAATTAGGTAGGGGGTAGCATATGGCACTTGATGCACAGGCTCCCCTCTCCTGCTTTAAGGCAACTTTGTATATTCATAACCGAAATGCTAGCTGGCATTGGCTGCCAGTTCATTTCCGGGCTCAATATGGCTGGGGGAACCCAGCCAGATGGGGGGAGTATAAATAATAAAATTATTACTATTAATTATTAAATATTTGTTGTTGTTGTTGTTGTTGTTGTTTAAGGTGCTCAATCTAGTGTCTGAAACCCTAAATGACTTAGGTCCCAAATACATGAAAGAACACCTCCTTCCCTACAGACCCTCCCAGCTGCTAAGATCAAGGACCACCTCTCCCTATATAAACTGATCCAGACTCTGCAATCATCATTTGAGGCCCTTCTTCATGTGCCCCACCACCACCATGAGCGATCCAGAGGGTGCCAATACAAGAATGGGCCATTTCTATGGTGGCTTCCCACTTGTGGAATGCTCTCCCCAAGGAGGCTTGCCTGGCACCTTTGTTCCATATATTTAGGCACCAGGAAAAAAACCATTCCTCTTCTCCCAGGCCTTTGATTAATTAAACAATCTATGGCCTTTTAAACTGTTGGGGAGGAGTAATGAAGTTTTTGTTTGTTATTACGGTATTTTGTGGGGGGAGGGATTATACTGTAAACCGCCCTGTGTTCTCTGGATGAAAAGTGGCTTAGAAATTTACTTGGTGAAGGGTGGGTAATAAATGTAATAATTATAAATAAAGTAACAACAACAGCTGATGGGGGAAATTAACATTTGTCATTGTTAGGAAAAATGTTTGCCTGCAACTACATGGGACACAACTGCAGTTTCTATAGTGTAATACTGGCATCAAAACAGCCCATTAGATTGTAATTTTCCTAAATGTACTGTACATGGTGCCTCTAATGCACTCTTTAAGACATATTATTAGTGGTGGTTGCAATGCCCACCCTGCTTCCAAAGTATTTACATTCTAATTTATCCAAAGCAAACTAGGTGAGGCTGGGGTAAATTTATAGAGGCCATTACTCTGGGAATGCCATGGCCATCCTTAATGTATCCAACATTAGCCTAAGGAGAAAATTTATCTGCTCTTTAGCATATAATACAACTAATAAATAAAACAAGCTTGTTTTAGCTGCAAATTATCCTGTCATGCTTGCTTGCCAAATTCAATAGCTTTAAAGCCTCTTCTCAGAAATTGCGTAGCCCTCCTGGTCACAAATCAATGAAATAATTACATTTGTTACCCTTGAAGGTACCATAAGAGTGTTGGTTTTGCTGCAACAAACTAACCTGACTTTGTTATGGGCATCAGATACTACTCAATGAAGACTTGCAACTGTTAGCTGATTAATCAGATAATTAAGGCGATTATGAAAAATAAAAATCTGATTGGCAAAAAGGTGCCATCTAGCAAGTCATCGGATGTTTAATTTTTTTAAATAATGTTTTACCAAAAGTGCTAATATGTCAATTTCAAACACTACTACAAAAGAGACATTGTCTCCTTCATGGGAGAGGTGGAAATGCCCTTTCCAATACACCTGCTACACCACATGTGTGTTATCTAAAAACAATGGAAGTATTCAGGGAAGGGCTGAAGTTCAGTGATGGAGCATCTGTTTTGCATGCACAGGATCTCTGGTTCAATCCCCAGCATCTCTAAGTAGGGCAATGAGAAAACTGTCTGAAACCCTGGACAGCTGCTGCCAGTCAGTGTAGAAAATATTGGGCTAGTGGAACAATGCCCTGACTAGGTAGAAGACTGCTTCCTATGTCCCTGTATAACCCCTGCCCTCTACATATGGGGCTGAGAAACACCCTTGTCTGAAAGTCTGTAGACAGTATGAAGTTTGATAGACTAAAGAACCACCTTTGTTGGATACAACCCATGAGTTTTAGTTTACTTTAAATATGAATGAAACCGCAAATGAGAAAAGCAAGAATTCTATGGGAGAGGGGCGCACGGGAAGCATAGGAACCTAGAAAGCTGGTGTTCATGCACCAGAACTTCCTCTTCCTCCACCTTTGCAGAGAATAGATTGGGGTGGGGGAAGTTTCATTGTGCAAGCGGAGGTCCATGCCCAAACTTGACATTAATGTTTATTCCTATTCCATTGCCCACCACAGAAATGCATTCTAGACAGCCTACAGATGATGTTCCCCTACACTTTCAGAATATGTTTTGTAATTGTTACTAATGTACATTAAAAGGTAAAGGGTAAAGGGACCCCTGACCATTAGGTCCAGTCGTGACCGACTCTGGGGTTGCGGCGCTCATCTCACTTTATTGGCCGAGGGAGCTGGCGTACAGCTTCCAGGTCATGTGGCCAGCATGACTAAGCCGCTTCCGACGAACCAGAGCAGCGCACGGAAACGCCGTTTACCTTTCTGCAGGAGAGGCGCCTATTTATCTACTTGCACTTTGACGTGCTTTCGAACTGCTAGATTGGCAGGAGCAGGGACCGAGCAACGGGAGCTCACCCTGTCGCGGGGATTCGAACCACCGACCTTCTGATCGGCAAAGTCCTAGGCTCTGTGGTTTAACCCACAGCGCCACCCATGTCCCTTACTAATGTACATACACTTCAGTAAAGAGATAAACAAGGCATCTGAAAACAGAAGTTTAGGCTGAGAGATAATATTGGGGGCAGACAGGATGAATTTAGTTATTTGACAGTGAAAAATCCAAGAAAAACAAATTATGCCTCAGAACAAAATCCATTAGGATTTTGCTGAAGGGATTTATTATACATATTCATCTCTCACCTTACCATGAATCACACCCAAGGCAGCTAACAATAATAAATTGGGTCCGGCAGCTCACTGGCAGTTAGTGCAGCAGTGCTCTCAGGACCAGTGAAATACGGTGCCATCAGGCTGCCCCACTCGCCAACCGCATTACAAATATTATTCATGAACGCTTTTCCACAGAGACTTTACTCTTACAGTGTAATCCTACGCAGGTCTACTGAGTTCAATGGGGACTTACTCTCAAATAAGTATGCATGAGACTGCAGCCTTAATCACGCTGTAGCTTCACTCCAAGTGTCTTTTCCCCTCACAGTTATCTCTGCAGGCAAAGTGGGAAACCTTATTCCTCTCACTTCACCTGCCTTTACATCATGGCTTCTGTGAGGACAAGTTCTGCCTCACTAACTTTTTTGAGTTCTCTGAGTGTGTCAAAAAGCATATGGACAGAGTGAGGGGTGTAAGAAGTAGGGTCTCCCCAAGGATTGGTACTGTGACCTGCACTTCTTTAATCTGTTCATCATTAATGATCTGGGCTTAGGGGTAAGCATTCTGGTGGCTTTGTTTGGAAATGCCAAATTGTTCACTGTGTTTGAAACAAAAAGGGATTGCAAGGTGCTCCAAAAGGAGCTCTCCACACTGGGTCAATGGATATTAAAATGGCAAATGCAATTCAATGTATAACTGTGAAGTGATGTGCATTGGAGCAAAAGAGCCAGATCTCTCTCTCTCTCTCTCTCTCACACACACACACACACACACAAAAATATATGAGTGTGGGGTCTTGACTGATAGTGGCTGACAAGGTAAGAGAAATTAGAATCATGGTGGATAGCTATATTACGATGCTGGCCCAGTGCATGGCAGCTGTGAAAAAGGCAAATTTCATGCTAGGGATCATTAGGAAAGGGATTGATAATAAAACTGTCAACCTAATAATAAAGCCATTATACAAATCTATGGTGCAACTGCACTTGGAATACTTTGTCCAGTTCAGGGCAACCATAATTATCATGGGGTTCTGACAATTCTCCTATGTGTAATCTCCCTCTCCCATAATAGTCGAACCCAGGAGCAATCCATGAAACTGCATGATGGAAGTTCAAGGAGAGACAAAAGTGCTTCACACAGAGCATGGTTAAACTATGGCATTTGCGCCCACTAGTTATAGTGAAATATCTTAACAGTTTTAAAACAGGGTTGGACAAATTCATGAAGGATAAAGCTATCAAGGTGTGATAGCTGTGTGCATTACCTCCAGGACCAGAAGCAGTACAGGTATACCACTAGATACCTGCTGCTGGGAATCACCAAGCGAGTTGCCAGCCTCCCACAGGCATCGGATAGCTGCCCACTCTTAGAACAGATTGTCCAACTAGACAGGCCTTTGGCCTGATCCAGCAACAGGGCTCTGTTTATTTCATTGCTTCAGTAGTTGTGAGCAGGGCTGGCCCAAGACACTTTGGCACCTGAGATGGACTCCCAAATGGCCCCCTGCTCCCCACCATGGAGGATGGGATGAGGGAAGATTTACACCGAGAATGGGAAGAGGGGTGGCAGTCGCTTCAATCTGGCCTCATGGGGGGGGGGGCTGATTGCCCGTCCCAAGCTGAAGGGGTGGCAGCTGCTACAGACGAGCGAACGTGGCTTGTGAGCTGGGAGTGCATACGTGGAACTCAACCGACACAAAGCCTATCAGGAAGGGACAAAGTGTCGGGTGCCGACGAGGGTGCAGAGAGAATAAATGGAGATGAAACGCGACAGGAAGGACGCAGGCGTCCGCAGTCCACCCCCGACCCTCCGCCAGTCTTAAATAAGGCGGCCGCCCGCGGAAAGCAAGACGGAATTGCACCCGAATTACAAAGCAGCCCAGGGATCTTCCTTCCCGCCTTTCGCCTCTTTAGCGCAGGAGCCCGAAGCGGCTCGCTCCCCGCCCCGCGCTCGCTTAATCAGAGGCGCGTGACAGCTGCCCCAAAGACTCCAGGGCAAGGGGAAGAGCGCGGGGCGGGCGGGGGGCGCGCAGGCTGCCTCTCGGTCTCCCCTCCCACCTTGTCAGTGACTCGCGCTCGTGCCCTCGTTTTCCCTCTGCAAACCGGATCTGCTTCAACTCGGAAGTGAAAACGGCGGCTCGGGAGCCGCGTGGCGCACGCCTTTTAAAGGAGCCGCCTTGGCTGCCGGAGAGCGCTTCTTCCCTCACAAGGCGAGAAATGAGAGAGGCAGGGGCGCCCTGAGCCCCGTTTGGGGTTGCGGGCGGCAATCTTGTGCGCGTGAAACTCATTGAAACAAGCAGGACTACTCCCGAGTCAGGGACAGGGAGCATAGAGTTATACCTCGTGCAGATGATCGTCCGTTCAAACATTACAATCACAATCTTCCCTTTCTTCCTTGGATATTTAGGACTGCAAAGCAAGGGAGCGCACGAGCCCGTTTCCCTGTTTCCTCGGACGTAAAGTCCAGGTAGGAAACACCCCCCAGAAAAATATGGAAGCTTTACTGAACCTCTGCCGGGGTACACCAACCTTCTCCAACCTGGCGCCCGCCACATCGTGCTTGGTATTACAACTCACAGCCGGCTGCGGCTGATGGGAGTTGTAGTCGGAAACATCTGGAGGGTGCCAGCTTGGGAAAGGCTGGCGTGGGGAATGCAGATCAGACTCGGTATAAGGGAGCTTGCTGCGTTCTCAAGCAAGTCTTGCCGATTTCCGCGGGGTTTCCTTCCAAATTAGAGAACATCCCAAGGCATCTCTTAAAGAGCCGTGTTCGAACATGGCGGTTTCTGATCGATTTCCACAAGCGGTACTGTCCTCTGAATCCAATAATGTTGATCTTTACTCGGAAGTAACTAACGGGGCTTCCTCCCAAGCAAGCAGCACAGATTTGCTGCCTTGATGTTTATCTGGGTAGATAAATATATATGGACAGAATTTTCTTCCTTTTAAAAATTGCGTGAGCTTTTCCCCCCTTTCTCTCGTTTTGTCTTGCTGTAGTAGTTATTGTAGTGGGAGGTTAAAATAAAACTTCCCATGCAGACATTTCATTTGTACACAAGTATTCAAAGGTAGAGTATCCTTGTTTCATAATCTGAACATAAACATGGAAGTCCATTATCTCTTTTGCCTGCACCATAAATGCAGATTTCTGCATATATCTTACCCAGGGCTGGGTTTATTCCACACAAGTACAGAAGTGAAACAGAATGTGGTTCCTGAAAATCTCAAGCTTCCTTATTTTCATTTTAAAGGTTTCTAGCTACTATGTAGCAAACAAAGCTAGACAGTAAATGCCTAAAGAAATCTCAGAAAAGGAGGAGTGGTTGAATCAGATTTTTAACAGGCACAAAGTGGGGGTTTGTGTCCAGTGCAGCTGCATAGAAGTGAAGTGAATTATGCAATAAAATAAAATATGATTTGTGCTGAATTTTTAACTTTACATTAGGCTCAGAGTATTCACAGTTCTGATTCATGCTTCATGGCTGGCTGCTTAATTGTTGCAGAAACAATATATTTTGTCAACACTTAGACCAAAATATTTTGTACCTGAGAAAATGCAATGCTCGGCAGTGTTAGATTGCCACTTACTTCCAATAGGACTAATTCTGAGTAGACTGGTTAGAATTGTGCTGTTACCTACTAATAATAATAGTAGTTTTTTAAACTATGGTGTGATACAAGTACAAGAAATCTCCCTTTTTCTAGCAGAGATATCAGATAATGCAGCCTAAGATCTTTCAGCACATTAATCACAGGGCGGGGCATATAATAGTCTGCAAAAGCCCTAAATAAAACCATACAGAGCACAAAGCAAAATTGTCACAGGGTATCATTGCAACAGCTGCCTCCCATTTTCTCCCTCCCACCACTCTGCTATATGTGAATACTTCCTCTTACCCAAACAGCATTGCTGGGACACTCTGTTCCCTGGAATGGTAGGAACAGTTCCTCTCATGCAGGGCCGGCACCCATTCCACTGCAATTGCTGACCAAACACTTTGCCTTGCAGGATCACAGTCCCAACACATAGAGCAGAAGAAGCTACTCTGGCACATACACGGTTCAAGTACAATCCTCAAGGTCTCAATCACTGTAGTCTCCACATCCCTCCAGGACACTAAACCACCAGCACTCAGGTGGCACCACTTACTTTCAGCTTACATCTCCTCACCTGTTCAAAGGACTTTGTGCTACAGCTGCTGCCTATTGCTCATTTGTTCTATAGGCTGCTCTCCCACAGATACACAATCTTCTCCCACACTCTGTTCCATGCAGCCCAGGAGACACTCCCATCTTGTCACCAGCAAGGTGTGTGGTGGCTTTTAATGGGTAGGGGGCATGGGTGTTGCAAGGATTTTTGTTAGGAGGGGGCAGGACTTCTGTTTTGGGGGGCAGAATCGACATGATTGGTCAGTTAAGTATTTCTATTGTTTTACTTGATTGGGGGGGCAGCTGCCCCCCCTTGTCTACGCCCATGGTAGGAGAGGAGATATATATATGCAATTTACCCTTCCAGGTGCTCATGTGTGAGAGTTTAAAAATCCCATCCTTGGCAGCAAAATTAGGAATCAGGCTGCCAAGTCTCCTTTGGTGCAAGTCCAGCTAACCAAGTAAGCTGGCTTCCTGCTTCTTACCCTGCTTAACAAAGAATAGATAGATAGATAGATAGATAGATAGATTCTTTATTGTCATTACACAAGTGCAACATTGCACAAGTGCAACGAAATTGGATGCCATCCCTTAAAAACAACAAAAGCAAAACAACAACAACAACCAAACAAACCACCCTTCCAACCACACCCACACCCACCCACCCCTCAAACTCCCAGGTCTCACTATCGAGTACAGCATTCAAAAAGGCCACCAGCTCTGGAATAAGAACTGTTTTTCAGGTCTATTTGTCCTTGACTTTGGATGGTTTCTATACCTCCTGCCAGAAGGCAGTAGTGCAAACAGACTGTTCCCAGGTGAGATGGATCCTTGCAGGATGTGTTGCTTTCCTAAGGGCAACGGGAACCGTACAGTTCTTCCAAAGGTGGGATGAGGGGACCAATAATCCTTTGGGTGTGGTTATGGGACCTTCTGGAGCAACCTTCCTCTCCCTAGCTGTACAACTGGAGAACCAAGCACAAATACCGTATGTAAGTATGGCTCTCTATGGAGCCTCGGTAGAAGGACACCAGCAGGTCTCTCCACTCAGATTGTCTTTTTTAAAAGTCTGAGGAATAAATTCTTTGCTGGGCCCTTCTTCACCAGGCAGTGGTATTTGCGCTCCAAGGTCATGCCCTGATCGATAGGCACTCCCAAAAACTCTGAATTCCGCCACCCTCTCGCAGCCCGTCCCCGTGATATACAATGGCTGAATGGTCCGCCTGTTTTTTTTCCTGTAATCCACCACCAATCCTTGGTCTTAAGCCGTATTTAAGAGGCCAGATTGTTTCTCTCCACACCAACACAGAAGCCGCTCCACCTCGTCCCGATAGGCGGACTCATCCCCTCCTGAAATGAGCCCCACCACCGTAGTATCATCAGCAAACTTGATGTTTTTGTTGCTGGAGTAGTGGCTGTACAAGTCATACGTATAGAGAAGCATAGAGCAGGGGGACTCAACACGCAAACCCTGTGGGAGCCGGTGTTAAGGCTAAGGCCTGTGGGACACATGTGACCCCTACTCTAACCCTTGAGAACGTGCTGACAAAAAATCCAAAACCCAGAGACAGGTGGAGTTGGAGAGTCCAATCGGCCAACAACTTGTAAAGTAAGTTTAAAAATAAAATGTAATTACTTTATAATCAATCATTGGTTCACAGCAAAGGCTGCATTCAATGCTGGTCAAAGGAAGAGAGAAAAGAGAGGGACAGGAAGTACTATCTGCTCCTTACTCTTTAGGCGAGGAGAAATTGCATCACACCGAGCCAACTCTACCAACTGTATTTCTATGGTTTGAATATCTGCCTGTCAGCAATACAGCTTTGTGGCATTACTCCCTTCTCATGCTAACTACCAATAATATGCATTTGTTAGGTTTAGTTGCTAATCTCCCATACTGTGGCGATCACACGGGGTCCCCGGACGTTTAACAGTCTATTGATCCCTGTGCCACCACTGTGCTTGCTTCCCCGCTGCCACCAACCAGTTACTCTCTGGTAAAACACTGAGTCCAGTCAGTTGTTAAAAGTAAACAAAAAAAAAAAAACCACAAGTTTATTTTACAAACATTAACAAGTTTATGGTTTCTCAGATAATATTCCTGTCAGTATCTTAACTTTAGTTTCTTTACCGACCTATACCTTCCTAATACCTTCTGGCTAATTATCTCAACTGTTTGACTGACTCCTCTTAACAAATTCTCTCACTCTCCCCCACCAGACTAGCCCAACCCACAGACTTATCTTCTCTGTCTCTTCTAACTCCAGACTGTCTTCTCAACTCACTCAAAAACCCCTCTGTGCTTAAACCTTATACACCAGTGTTTCCCAACCTTTTTTGGGCAAAGGCACACTTGTTTCATGAAAAATATCTCGAGGCACACCACCATTACAGCCCCGTGACGTCAGCGCGCAGCGTCACGCCGGGAGGGACGCACGAAAGTGTAAGATTCAATTTTTTTCCCCTCCCCCTTGCCTTCCTTCTGTGCCAACCGCCAAAAAGCCAAGAATCGCGGGACCGCCGGCGGAGGGGGGGAGGGCGAGCGGAGGCAGCGGCGAGCCCCGTTCCTCCCCATCCGCCCCATTCCGTGCAAGGAGCGCGAACAGGTGTGAGAAGGGGGTCAAACCTGCGGGTCGGCGCCGGGGAACCTCCAAGCTTTGGGGGTGGGGGGGAGGAGGCAGCAAAGCGAGGCAGGAAGGAGGGCGCGGCTTGGCGAAGTACTCGGCGGCGAAGGCCAGCAGGTCCGGCGGCCGGTGCCGCAGCACCTCCACCGTGTAGCCCTGCAGCAGCTCAGTCAGACCCGGCGGGATCTCGATGCTCATCTTGTAGCCGAGGCGCGCGGGAGACTCAACGGATGGGCCCGGGAGAGAGAGAGAGAGAGACACGACGG